GGGAGAGGAGGAGGGGGCTGACGGTGAGGGCTGGGGGGGGAACAGGAACAGGGGGCTGACGGTGAGGAGTGGGGGTGGGGAAGGGGAGAAGTGAGCTGACAGTGAAGGGAAGCTGCTCAGGGTGCTGAGCCAGAGCTGGAATGAGAAGGGAAAGGAGCTGTTACTGTGCTGGAGCCTTCACTTACCCACTCCCCACGATTCTCCGCCTGCCACTAGCGGGAGCTTCCTTACAGCGGGGGTTTATAGCGCAGCCGGGGGCGCGCATTTAGCAGGGGACGTGCACAGGCGCGCATCGAGCCACCTTCTCAGCAACAAGAGCGCGCACAGCACCCCCAGGGGCAAACAAACATCCCGGGGAACTATCTACCCCCTCAGCCCCGGGAAAGAGCATTACTACAATGTGGCCAGAGAAATGGAAACTGTGACCAGGCACACTGTAACACATTGGAACAAATTAGAAAGTACTAGGAGTGGGTGAGAGCTGGATTCGCAACCCTTCTGGGACTGGAGGCTGCCCACAGCCAATCACAAACCAGAGAAGGGCAGCTCCCAGTGCGTGAGGGGCGGGGCGGAAAGCGGGAACTCCATTGGCAGCTTTGGGCCAGCCTGCTTTCCGATTGGACACCATGAGATGGACATATCGTTCAGCCAATGGCAGGTGGATAGGGCGGGTCAGGCGTGTAAATCCTCCCGGCATGTGGCTAATACAGCGTGCCCACATGACTGTGGGTGGAGAGTACAAGGTGTGTGAGATAACAAGGTATACAGCTGGATGAACACAGCAGGCCAAGCAGTTTCATAGGAGCAGGAAGGCTGATGTTTCGGGCCTAGACTCTTCATCAGAAATGGGGGTGGGTGGTTCTGAAATAAATAGGGAGAGAGGGGGAGGCGGATAGAAGATAGATAGAGGAGAAGATAGGTAGAGAGGAAACAGACAGGTCAAAGAGGCGGGGATGGAGCCAGTAAAGAGGAGTTAGGGAGGGGATAGGTCAGTCCAGGGAGGACTGATAGGTCAAGGGGGCGGGATGAGGTTAGTAGGTAGGAGATG